TGCCTTTTGTCTGCTGATATACTGTTTGGCATAAACCACAGTTGTGGTACGTGGCGTAAAAAGCGTATATGCATGTATAATTCTCTTTGCAGACTGACTTGTTAGACCTAATGATTCATTGTGTGACTCTCTTAACCTGGGCTGCCAGACTGACTTGGGTGACAAGACATGAAAGCCACATCTACTAGACGAACGTTTGTTACGTTTCTCAACATGCATAATAGAGCGCTGATTTCCATCATGAGAGGCTGCATTTTACATGACCATTGATCTACAGTTCTGTGTAAATCAGCCTTCCCCAAGAAATGATCCTTCTTTACGACCAACACAAATTTTAAAATTAATATCTGGAGCCTTCAGAACTGTTTCTTTGCCACAGTCATTTTTTAAAGCCAGATAACAAGTCAGGAATGCTTGCTAACGTCACTGTTATGTGCTGCCACAATTAGAGTCACCCTGTGTGTCATGACTGGGGATGTGGTTTATGCACACTGATTGTCCCTGGGTCACTCTCTAGCCTCAGAAATAGTGCCAAGTGTCTCCATGACCTGTGAGAGCAAGCTATCAGGTGGTAAATGCGGCCTCTTTCTAGCAGGTGTCAGTCATGCGTCGCTCTCCCCCTCCAGTGCCTCTCGGCACTTGGGACTTACTGCTGGGTGTTCCCCTAAGTGAAATATTTCTGGCTGCTTTGTGATGTCTCTTGGACTGAAGCAGTCAGCTGGTCATTCCAGAAACACAGACTTGAAGAGAATGACCTACTTCCATTCCTTAATTGTTAATGATGTTGGTGTCACAGAATTCTAAGCCAGGCAGAATGCACAGGCTCCAGAGAGCTGGGACTCTCACTAACAGCCTGTGCACAGAGCCGTCCGTGTTGGGTGTGGCAATGGCCCTGCTTGTGCCCCCAGCCACGTGTTGGCAGTCAGCATCTTCTCTAATCCCATCTGTGAAATGGGACACCTGTCCTGCAGCATACTCTGAGAGACAGTGTGGAGACTTCTGAATTCTAAGTCGCAAGATGAAGCATCTTAAAAGGAAAAACAAAACCACTGCTATCATCCTATTATTGATTTTCACTAGGTTAAGGATTTTAAAAATGTGTTCATTATTACCTCCTGGAAAGTGTATTTTACCATAAAAGTGATTACTTACTAAGTTACTTTTTCTTATGTGGAAACCATAGTGAGACTCCCCAGGACTTTGTTTTTCCCAAGTGCAACTAATTGTCTCTGTCAGGGATTACGTTCAGATGCAGTCACCCAATTGTGCCGCAATGTAAAGCTGAAAAACTGAGTGAGCTTTATAGTGTTTGGAGAACAGTATGTAGAAATCTCTTTATTTTATTCCGCTTGTGTTTAGAATGAAATTCAAGGTATTTATTACTTTGCGTTTAAAACTTTGGTCAAATTACCAATCTGTTGTTAATCAGTTGCAGTTAGGAAGTGTTGGAATATTTGCTTAAATTGCAGTTTTCTGATTGGAAGCCATTCCAGGTATGTGAAATTAATTATAGACTATTTAAAGCCTATTGTTTTGTTTACTTTTAATTGGAGGAGTATATTATTGAGCTGACATCACGCTTTGTTTTCTTCTGTGTGGCATTGATAATTAAGAAGTTTCCAATGTAAAGTGTAAAAAAGAGGAAAAAACTCCTTTAAGTCCTTTGCACTACTCTGCAGACTTTCTGACTTGGTGTGTTTGTGTCGAACCGGGGCGGGACTCCACGCAAGGCCAGGCGTGGCCTGTGCCCTCCTTGTTGCTAAGTGTCGGCTTAGCTGTTCAGAAGTCACAGATTCTAACATTCTTTTTGTTTTGTTTGGGAGGGGTAATATGTTTACTTATGTACTTGTTTAATGGAGGTGCTGGGGACTGAACCCATGACCTCGTGCCTGCTCAGCATGTGCTCCACCTGGGAGCTCCACCCTCCCCCCCCTCCACCCCCTCCACCCCCCTCACCCTCCCTGGTTCTAGATTCTGGATATTCTTCCTCCTCCAAAAGCTCATGTGCTTTTTGACCCCACGCAAGCCAGTTAAAGGGTTTTGTCCTTTTGTGAAGCAAGTATAATAATTTTAGGAACCTTAGCTGATTCTTCCATGCCAGGACCCAAACCGTGGTCACAGTTGGCGGAGGTATCAGTAACCAGAGTCTCGCCTCGACTTTCTGCAGAAATCACATGTATCCATCACCAGAGAGACTGGTCTCTGATAATTCAGTCCATCCCAACTAATTTAACTCATCGCTTTCAAGTTTAATTCAACCTAACTAAAAACATGTTTTCAGGCTCGAAACCCAATTGATTAACTCATTGTGAGGAATATATCTGCTGACTGGACTAGAATTTGCTGATGGCCTGTGAGCGCGTTTTCCTAGCCGAGAACTCTGTTGCAAAACTGCGTATGGGGGTGGGGAATAGCTCAGTGGTGGAGCCCCTGCTTAGCATGCACAAGGTCCTGGATTCAGTCCCCAGTGCCTCCATTTAAAAACAGAAACAAAAACAAGTACAAATGCAAAGGTTGCTTCATTCACATAGAATCAGAACAAAGGAGTCGGGTGGCTTTATACATCGGTGAAGTCTAGATGTCTCCAGGAAAGGCATGTCCCTGAAGGGGCTTTCTGCCAAACCAGCTGGAACCTTAGGATCCTTCTGGGAAGTTTTAAAGTAACTTCAGGTGTTCCAGTGATGAACCCCACTGTCATCACATCTCGGGAAAAACCAGGGTTAGGTCAGGCAAAGGTTGTAACAATTAAGACTTATTAAAGGAGGTTCTGAATTGTACCTGGACTTTTTCCCCAACACTTCCCCAACATTTTATTATGAAAATTTCCAGACATACAGAAAGTGAAAAGAACTGTACATCCACATACTCAGCACTAAGATTCCACTGTTGACATTTGATCACACTCCCAAATCTGTCTCTCCCCTGCCCACCCATCTGTCAGTTCCAGCCTTTTATTCCAATGCATTCCCAAGTAAGTTGCAGATATTAATACACTGGTTTTTTCACTTGTACTTTGAAATGTTTAAACATCCACAAAAGCAGATCGAATAGTGCAGTGAAGCCCCATGTACCCCCACCCGCATCCACCAGTTGTCAGCAGTTTGCGGGTCTTGTTTGATCTCTTTCCATCACCCACGTTTTTTTCTTGAGTAGTTTAAAACAGACAGCTTTCTTCACTCAGAAATACTTCTGTCTCTAACATACAAGGATTTAATACTTTACCATTTAACAAAATTCTTTATTACCTAGTGCTTGTTAGTTTGCCTTGATTGTAGCAAAAAAAAGTCCTGCATTTGCTGTGTTTGGCTCAGGATGCAATCAATGTTCCCTGTAAACTGGCCGTTAGGTCCGGATACAGGATGACATTCCAAGCCAGTATTTTGGCAAAACAACATCACAGGCCTTGACTCCTCATCCCACCTCCTCGGGCAGCACGTGTCCGATCGTCCTGTTGTTCCTGCTGCCCGGACCCGTCCGTGGACTCAAGCGCTGGCCGACTGGTGCCTCTGGCACAGAGCTCGGCAGCACGCAGGTTTCTCAGGAGCGTGATCCTTTCCTAGGTGTGGTCCTTAATTTGCACTTGCACCATGGTGACTTTTCTAACTCAGTCATTTCTTCTGCATTGATTAGTTGGAAGAACTTTCCCCATCAACTGCTTGGTAACTCTGAAGTTTATTTTTTAACCACAAAGGCAGGATAAATGCTTGATTATATCCCTTTACTTAACCAGTTTCCAGAATAACGACCTGTTACCCGAGTGGCTTCCACAGGCTGGCTGGTTTGTTTATATTTTTAACTGTGGTAAAAGCACAGAGCTTACCACCTAAACCACTTTGAAGTGTGCTGCTAAGTAGTGTTAACTGCATTTCCATGGTTGTGCAACAGATCCACAGAACCTTTCCGTCTGAGGAAACTGAAACTCTGTAGCCATTAAACAAAACGTTCCCCTTCGCCCTCCTCCCAGCCCCTTGCGCTCACTGTTCTGCCGGACAGCTGCGGAGTCGTGTGGCCGTGGACTGCTGCCATATTTGCCTCCTTGTGACTGGCTTTTCTCACTTAGCACAAGGTCCTAAAGATTCATCTGTGTTGTAGCATGTGACAGGTTTCCTTCCTTTTTAAGGCTGAATCCAAAGGTTTTCATTATTTTTTACAATTTATTTATGTATTTAATTTTTAAAAGAGCTCATGTATTTTTATATATTTGCTGTGTTTCAGTCCATTGCAGTCATTATTCCTTTGGTGCTCAAATTGTCCTGTCTTTGGCCAATGGGATCCCCTTCAAGATAGCCCTAGGGCCTTTGCACACAACTCAGTCATCTTTGAATGCTTCCTTCCTTTTTGCAGGGACGGGGTGTCTGGGCTCATCCTGTGCATTTGCTGCCCCAGACCCAGAAGAGGGCATTTTTCTAAGCGGCCCTGATCCCTTTTAGTGTCTGAATATCATAGTCCAGGCAGCAGCGTAGGCTCACTTTCTAGCTCTCCTAATGATGTCTTAATTTAAAAACCGTGGCAAGCGGCCCAAGGTAAGAGTGCAACAGGAGAAACCATAGCTGAGATGGAAGTGGCGTCCATTTCTTTTAAGCACATCTGAGAGGAGCCTGGCCACCTCGGCGGTGATCTGTGGCCACAGCCACGCATCAGGCCACACTGTGAGCTTAAAAGACATCAGCTGCCGAGCTGCACCACACACCACCTGGGCTAGATGGTAGCAGCGCCACAAAATACCTGGATCCTGGTGTGGATCCAGTGTGGTGATGGAGTTAAGAATGCTTGCTAGCAAAGAAATCGTAATGAAAATAAAATAAAAGTTACCAAAAAAAGAAAAAGAAAAAGAAACATGGACTCTGGAAACTCCCTTAGCCCAGCATACATTAGGTTCTAGACTTTGCTGGGTAAGCTGTCTCCTACTAACTTGATTATGGGGCCTTTGAAAACGCGGGGCTCTCATCAGTAACCCAACGCCACAAATCCCTAATGTGTCCTCTGCTCCTGTTTTGTAGGTCTGAACGAGTGCCAGCCTCAGGCTTGCCGAGGGCAGGACTGGGTCAGCATGCTGCCACCTTGAAAGGGCACGACAGTTCTCTCCAGGAAGGGGCCGCTCAGCTCTCTGAAGCTTTCCCAGTCAGAAGCATGGACCAGAGGACAAGGGTTAGCAGTTCTGTTTTGTTTTTAATAAGTTTCAGCATGTACAAGTTAGTCATTTGAGGAAATAAATTATGTTCTTAACGATGATTAACATATTTTTAAGAAATGGTAAGTTATAAGTGAGGTTTTGTGGTTTGTTTGTTTGTGTGAACTCTCTGATCTTTTGCTCAGTGTTTTGTGTAGGAGTCTCAAGTCCTCACATAAAGTTAATTCCAGTCCTGGAGGTAACCCAGTTAAACATACCTACTGCAGCATTTTCCCAAGGAACTTAGAAGCTTCTTTTAAAATTCTGGTTTTCTTTCTCTTTCCTTTAAAAATGCTGCCTGGTCATTTATGCCAACTCGGCAAATATGTATTGACCGTCTCTGTCCATAGGCATCAGCCCAGACCCATTAGAGGGAAAGACAGAAGTAAAATGCAGCCCCTCCTTTCAGGGAAGGAGAGCATGGCTGGGGATGTGGACCCTCTGAGAAGGGAGCAGGCTGATGGAGAAGCAGTGACGGCAGACTTCGTGTCTGAGGGAGTGGAGGGCAATGTGGAGCGACCTTTAAAAGACAGGTTGCTGACGGACAAGGGCTGTTAGGAGCCAAAGAACAGACGAGGAAAGCCAGCACTTTTCCGGGAGAAGGAGTTGTTCTCTGTGGTGAAGAGTGGACGGCAGTCTGGGGACGGGGACGAGAAAGGGCAGGGCAGCCCCAGGCGCACCGGGCAGGGCTGGCCCAGGCTGAGGGGCTGGTGCTCGGCTGAGAGGAGTGTGGAAGGTCACGCAGCTCTCCGAGCTGGGCTGTGGGGGTGCCCTGCAGGGCCTCCGGGAATGCCGCCGCCTGGACTGGGAGGGGATGGTGGAGGAGGGGCCTGATGCGGCTCAGACTTGGAGCCCAGGGAGAGACTGGGTAGATTCCCAAGGAGATGGGAGGGGAGGACCCAGAGCCCAGGTTCCCCGCATCCTGGTCTCCGTTGTTCCCTGGAAAACCATGTTCAGAAACTTGGCCTTCCTTCCCCCAAGTTTAATGTCCTGTAGTTTGTCTTGTTTCAAAGTATGTTCTTTCATCCTTGTACATAATGTAGGGCTTTCCGGCTTTCATCTTTTAAAGTTTTTATTTTTATCACATGCGAAGTTCAAGGATCCTACGTATGCGCCTCCTGGAGGCAGACCATGTCACCTGTCCCAAAGCCACAGCCCCTGTCGCTGTGCAGTCCAGACCCGCTGCCATCATGCTCCAGCCTCTCAGAGCACCTCCAGCCCCCCAGTGCCCCCCTCACCCCTTTAATTAAAAGAGAGTAGAAGGACTTTAAAGCATTCCAAACATACGTACATGGGGGGATGCAGTGAACTCACCAACCCACATTCGCATGTGGATACCCCTGTACCCTGTTGTTTCAGACCCCCTCTCCTCTTCCTCCTCCCGAGTTCCCCCTTCTGCAGTGATGACTGCAGGTATAGATCCAGCCCTGTGTGCCCTGCGCAGACCTGCCCTTTTCAGATACAACCTTGTGCGCATCCTTCCTGCACGTTTTCCTTCTCCTGGCTTACTTTATGTGCGCTGCAAGAAGTAACTCATGGTTTGGTTTGGTTTGGTTTGGTTTGGTTTCAGTGTAATACCTTTTGTGTGAATGTTCTTCACGAAAGAACGGTGTTCTTTAGGAAGAACAGAGGCTTTTCGATTCATTCCATATCTACTGATAAATGTAGATGTTTAGAAGGATTTTGTTTTCAGGTTTTATTACCCATTGTATTTTAGTACTATTCTGAAACAGCGTCATTTTCTGTTCTTATTTGCTGCAAATACATCACATTTCAGCCATGTCAGTGGTGAAATAAGTATTGGTCCTTTGCCATCAAATCATCTTAAAAGAAAAAAGATGGTGTTTATGTTAGAAAACTTATTCTAAGTTCCAGACAACCAATTCACTCATAATTTTTCCAGTAATAGCTCTGTTACTAATGGGAAGGGACTGCCCAATTAATAAATTAAGCATCAAATGATATTCTGCCTCCCCTAGTGGGTTTTTTGTTCCTTTTTAAATCATCATCTTAGTGACAACCATAAAAATTACCAGTAAATGAGTGACAAAATCCATCCTTGAAAGTAGAAGTCAGCAGGTGGTTTCTCAGATTGTTGGGCTGTAGCTGAAGAAACGCACAGCCCTGAAGAGCAGCGCTCCCGGCGTGCTGTGGGCAGGATGGGGCTGGCAGACACGAACACAGAATGGTGCTGCCGGCTCAGGACGGCTGCGACTCAGGAGTCATCTTTCTGTGATTAGCACAGTCACATGTCTTCAAGTTGTTTCCCTCATGGAACAATATATATATTTGGTAAATAGTATGGGTTAAATATTTCTTTGTAGATAAAAATCTTAAAAGTAAGAGATTTTCAGAATTTAAGGAAGCTCTACTAGAAATCACTTGGTTGAGACTTTAATGAAGCTCAGGAGTATTTACTGTGATCTCTTGGGTAAATGGCTAATTAAACAGCTGCATGTAAATGATGTTTACCTGTGGGCCCCTTGCTGTCTGCTGCAGTCAGTCCCGTCTCTTGAGTAAATACATCAATAAAGCCTCCAACACCCGGATTATGTCCCCTGGAGACCAGATAAGAGCTGCAGCACCCGCCTCACCTATTAGGCCGTTAAGTAACTGAGCCGCCCACTTTTAAATCAGAAAAATTTGTTATTACTTTGGGAAAAAAAAGTGAGTTGGATGCTTCATTAAAATACAAAGTATGTTAGTACTCCTTTTCTCCTAAGTGCTGTCTGCTTCCACCCAGGGGACCTCCTGCAGGCAAAGCAGAGCAGCCCCTCCACCCCTCCCTAAGTGAGGGCTGCTGCTTCATTCTTACCTCCTGAGTTCCTGCTCGCTGGCTCACATGAATGCCTCCCCGTTCCTTCAGTTGCTACACAGATGAAATCTCCTTCCTCTCTTACAATTCAGATAGAACCTAAGTGATGATGCGTGTGTTTCTCTGTGAAACTGGAAGATGACGTCCGGTGTGCACAGGAGGGTCTTGTGGGAGGGTCAGGTGAACCTGCAGGAGGGGAGATGCTGCGTGCTGTCTGCACCCGTCGTGTTTCATTGTCTTGCTCCTCTGGGTCTGCGTCAATAGCGCGGATTTACATATGGGAGGTAATTTTATTTTATCAAGTGTTTTCATGTCCACTTTGTATTTGTACCACCCATTGCAGAAATCAGATGCTTCTAGAGCTAGCATGTTTCTTAAATAAAACTAAGGGAAAAAAACAAACTTGGAATAGTAAGGTAAACAGAAGAAAAGAAAATCGTCTGTTATCCGACTCTTGAGTATAACCCTGTTGACATTGCGGTGTGTGGTGGTTAATGTTTAACATCCTGACAGTGTGTGGTGGGTGGTGCTGTTTGCGTGCTTGGCTTCCTCATCCCCACTTGTCACGATGAACGTGCTTTCTTCCCCCTAGAGGTTCTGCATCACGCCCGACGGCTCCGCGGAGACCCCTGTGTGGCTGCGCCACCGTCTCTTCCACCAGGCTCCCGGTGCTGAACACTATGAGTTGTTTTTCATTTTTCCTCTAGTTTCAGAGCACACCTGAGCAGTTCAGGTTTTACAGCCACTGCTGTTTCCTGGGAGTGAGCTCCTAGATGGGGCAGTACTAAGTCAGAGGGGGCTCTCGGGTCCTGCTCTGCGCTGCCTGCTCCCACCTGCGCGGTTGTCAGTTAACCAGGAGGAAGCAGCTTCCCCTGAGCTCTTTGTGAAGCGGGACACTGTCTACTTTTATTTATTTGTTTTGGAGCACCAGATTGAGAAGTGCAAATGACAGCCAACTTCTGTTGTTCACTTGACCTTTGCATTACAGTTGAGGTCAGACTTTTCCCACCCATTTGTGAGCCATATGTAGCTCTTGTTTTATAATTTGCAGTTCATGTTCTTTGCTCATTTTTCAATTAGGTTAGTAATATTTTTTTTCTTATTGACTTGTGGGAACTATTTTAATATAAATTTGTACAATTTGCTACAATTTTAATCAGTTTGATTTTCACCTTTTATTTTTCTTAATGGTGTTTGGATACAGTCTTTTCCATTAATATCTTCATCCATCTATTTATGCATTTGAATATCACAATTTATAAGTTTCTGGATGTAAATTAAGAGTCAGCCTAAAAAAATATGAAAACAAATATATGTATGTATATGCATGACTGTGATGCTGTGCTGTATACCAGAAATTGGCACGTTGTAATTGACTGTACTTAATTAAAAAAAGAGTCAGCCTAGATGACTCCTAGGGTTCTAGATCTAGAACTTTGAGAAAACGCTAGTGGAATTGAGCCAGTTAATTCTAGGTGTCCCACTAAGTGTAATTCACAAGGTGATTATTTTGCACAAGATCTGTCAGCCTCAGTCATCCTGCAGGCAGTGTGCGCCTTGGCATGAATTCCCAGCACTTTCTCCTGGCTCCTGGGAGGTAGGAGAGTGAGGGACTAGTTTGTTGGCATTGACTTTGGCTGCAGACCTTGGAGAACAGTCTCCAGTCGCCCCTGCCCCGGGCGCCAAATGTATGAGATGAGCGAGAGCCTTTGTCAGCTGACAGGTGAGCTGACACTGCACACAGTCCATTCGTGAGCACCACCAGGGGCCATCTTTGGTGGCATTTTTCAGAGAGAGCACCCTCCTTTGCAGAGCCCCGGGCCCAGCGGGAGCATGGGGTGGGCATGGCGCCTGCTTGCTCTTCTCTGGGCTTTGGTTTCTGGGCAGGGCGGGTCTGGGTTCCTGTTGTCGGTGTCACACTGCAGGTCCCTTCAGACTGGGGCCTTCCTGCCAAGGGGCCCTTCCAGAGGGCCGCAAACAGCACATCTTGAGAATGCCTCGCAGGTGTTTTCCTGACTCTGCACGTGTTGCTTTCTGCTGGACTTTTGAGTGGACCTTCTGACCGTTCGTTGTCTGAGGCTGACTTTTGTTTCTGTCCCTGCTCATCATTATCCCCTGTTTCTTGTCAGGTCCTCTGCAGATGACCCCCCGGGCAGATCTGCCCTCTCTCTGGGCTTCATGGTCCAGCAGAGTCAAGCCCATCATTCTCATGTCGTCGTGCGACCGTCAGAATCATGATAGATGTAAAATACTCATCTTTGAGAAATGATCTCTAGAATTATCTTAAAACATGAGTCCTTTTATAAACACTCCTATCAAAAAAGTAAGAGAAATCCTGGAGATGTGAGTGTTAAGATGAATAGGATAAGATGTATGAAATACATGAAAACCTGCAATGTTCCCAACACTCATGTTACCGTGGTCACTGTGGTTGAAAAAAAAAGGCTCTGTGTAGAGCTGCGGGCTGGTGTTCTCACCCAGCTTACAGGGGCTTGTTAGAAAGATGTTTGCAGGGTTATTATAGCAAGTTAGTTTGGTTCTTTTGAAGCCCAGTTGGAACCCAACTAAAGCAAAAGAAGCTCTTATATTAAGGGGATGTGTGAATCATTGAGGGACTGGTGAGAAGCCATGCGAGTTACTGACAGTCTAGAACATTCTCCATTGTCTGTAGGTTCTACAGTAGAAAGAGCAGAAACCTTCAACAGGCCTTTACAGCTTTATTCTTAAAATGTGTAAGACAGTGGTTGTTACGAAGTCATGCCAAGAAATTATTAGTTACAGTTAGTGCGTAAGTTCTTTTTGTTCATATTCTAAAATGTTTTTTATGTATCCAGGATTATTGGGCACACGGAATGGGAGCTTAACTCTCTGTGGGAACAGACAAACCAGACCAGGACTGGCAGAGAGCTAGAAATGAGACCCACTAGGCTGGTCCAGAGAGCGTACTGACTGTTGGGAGGTGGCAGGTCCTGTCTTCTGGACAGATGCTGGTAGCAGGTGTGGTGCAGTGGTCCGTGTGGGTCCATGCCGCTGGGGTTGGGGCATTTGGCAGCCAGTGATGGGGACCAGCCCTGGCCTGAGCTTCCAGGAAAAGGCTGTATCGTGAATCTCTGTCTGCAGAAACAGGGACTCTGTACAGGTCATTCTACAGAGTTGTTAACAATGAGAGTCAAACCCGAGGCCATCTTTATACAAACGGAGGAAAAGCTCCTGGTTACAGAAACTGGACAGACAGGAAGACTAACCTGATGCCAGGTTCTTTGGTCAAGGAGGCTAGGACTCCTTAAGTCGCCTCCAGCCCCCAGGATAGGCCAGGAGTCCCAGAGGCCAGCTGGTCCTAAAGAGGGCTGGAGGCAGGAGCCTTGCAGGGATGTCGAGGCCGATGGTGGTGGCCTCGGAGTATGTTCAGAGCTGGACTTACAGGCTAGATCCCCCTTGTCTGCCTCAGGGACTCCCCCTGACTTCTTTCTTCACGGCCTCCTCCTTGGTTTGCTAGGAGGTTACATTGTTACTGTTTCACCCTGGACTGGGGGTGACCTGTGGGGCCTTGTCCAGCTCCTCACCTCACCTTGACCTGCAGGGTCTCGTGTCCACCCCCCACAGGCTGGGCTGGGCCCTGGCCTATGTTTGCTGCTGTAGTCAGCTCCATGGAAGGGGTCACACTGCCACAGAGGCTTTCCCTTGCAGCCCTGGGCAGACTTCCTCGTCCCAGCAGGAAGAGAGAGACACGTGTGCTCTGGCAGCCAGACGATGTCACCACTGGTCGTTCACCTCTGGTTCCCAGTGTGTGTCTACTTCCTGGGAAGAGTGCTGGCCTGAAGGTAACCAACACCGGTATTACTAACC